ACAAAATTGTAGACAATGAAAATATGTGACAACAGGTGATGTGGATAAATTATTCTATAGTCATATAGAAATTCCATATAATTATCTTAAATCATGTTTTAGAAGATTAGAAGAATTCCTAACTCTGGAAAATATTTAATATAGTAAATTTATGAAGCAGTTTTTGAAATAGTAGTATACCATCCTATATAATAAAAGCCTAATATGCAAATAGACCAAATGGCGAAAGGACCGGTGGAACAACTGGTTGCTATGATGCACACTGACCACCAGGGGGCAGACACTCAACGCAGGAGCTGCCCCCAGCCTGCAGGCCCCAGGCCAGCCAAGGCGGGTGCCAGTGGGGACCTCCCTGATCACTCTGCTGGTCACCTTGCAGAGGGAGGCAACTCGTGGCAGTGGTGAGGGGCAGGGCTGGCGAGTGGGCGGTGCCAGACCAGCCAGGGCGGGTGCCAGCGCGCCCCCCCCCTCCCCCCGTTACCCCATAGATTGGCCCTGATTGCCGGCTAGGCCTAGGGACCCTACTCGTGTACTAATTTCATGCACCGGGCCTCTAGTGTTTTTAGATTTTCCCCAAGTTCTTTCATGTGGGACAAAAAATTGCTGAGAGAATAAAGACCAAATATTTACTTTATATAATGGGTATGTGTGTGTGTGTGTGTGTGTGTGTGTGTGTGTGTGTATGTATGTATATATATATATATATATAATGGTTACCCCTCAGTGATGGAAATAGGATTCTTTATGTTTTCTTCTTTATATTTTTCAGGTTTTCAATAAAGATCATATATTCATTTTACAGTAACTTTTCTTACCATTTATTCAGATGAGCAAAGCACAGTACAGGGCCTGGCACACAGCAGCGTTAGTAAATATGTTGACTTGAACAGGTGCTAGGGTAGGCTGACCTGATGTCATTGCTAGACCTAACATGTTGATTGTTCATGCCCAGTTCATTGTTGCTCCTTTATCCTGCATAACTTACCTTAAGTGAAATATTTCCACCTCTGCTTTAGAGAGCTAATGATCTCTAGTTTGTAATTTGTGGACTTTACATAGGGTAGAGTGTTTAGAATATCTCTTATTGGCTAATGAACAATGATCAGTCTTTCTGGATTAGCATGTCATTCATCTGAAACCACCTCATTATGTCATCTTTTGATTCCATATTTTGTTATTTTTATCTTGTTCTAAATTATTTTAATTTTTCGTATCTAGGGGGGAAATTATTGTCTATGTGGTTTATTTAGAAACTTGATCATATCTGGTTTCATGTATGTTATTATTTTGTCTTCTCATGCAGACAGCAAATGTATCTTATACTACTTAGGTTTATTTTCCTCAGTACCTAGCACTGTGCTTGTTCCGATGGTAGATGCTTAATAAATAGTTGCTGAATTAATTACAGTGTTGTTGTTCAATTATTGGTATAAAGATTAACTTTGTTGTGGTCAGTAATTTTTAGGATGGGAGAGATGGGAGAAAATAGTCTTTTCTTGCATTGTCTTCATTGACTTGCTGCCAAATTAAAATTTAGTGTGGGATTGAAAATTAAAAGTTCTTTGAAATTCTAATTCATTCGAAAATATTTACTGAATGCCTAATGTGTGCTAGGCATTGTTCTAGAACAGCGGTTCTCAACCTGTGGGTTGCAACCCCTTTGGGGGTCAAATGACCCTTTTACAGGGGTCGCCTAAGACCATCGGAAAACACATATATAATTACATATTGTTTTTATGATTAATCACTATGCTTTAATGATGTTCAATTTGTAACAATGAAAATACATCCTGCATATCAGATATTTACATTACGATTCATAACAGTAGCAAAATTACAGTTATGAAGTAGCAACGAAAATAATTTTATGATTGGGGGTCACCACAACACGAGGAACTTTATTAAAGGGTCGCGGCATTAGGAAGGTTGAGAACCACTGTTCTAGATGCTAGAGACTCAACAGTGAACAAAATAGACAAATTCCTGTACTTACGGAATTTTACGTTCTTGTAGATCTAATCATATGTAATTGGCTGCGTATGCATTCTGTGATAATGTATGATGATTTCCAAGGAACCATTAGCAACATCTTAAAATATTTATATCAGATTGATTTGTAATCAACTATTCATTAGCTTATGTATGGTTATAATGCAGGTTTTGCAATAGGTTGGTAGTAAGAAGGAAAGAAACATTTTTTGAACATTTACAATTTGCTAGGTTCTCTATTAAGAATTTTGACATACCTTATTTAACTCTCACAGTAGGTTTGAAAGGCAGGTAGGTATTATTTCTGTTTTTTTGTTTGCTTACATATATGTATATTTTTTGTTTATTTTGTTGATGTTGTTAACCCTCACCGGAGGATATTTTTCCATCAATTTTTAGAGAGAGTAGAAGGGAGGGGGACAGACACAGAGAGAGAAACATTGATGTGAGAGAAATACATCGATTGGTTGCCTCTCACAGGAGCCCTGACCAGGGCCAGGGATTGAGCCTCAACCGAGGTATGTGCCTTGACCGGAATTGAATCCAGGACTCTTCAGTCCACGGACCAGCACTCTATGTACTGAGCCAAATCGGCTAGGGCTATTTCTGTTTTTATTAATTAAAAACGGAGGCTCAGAGATGTTAAGAAGCTTGCCCAGGATCACATAATAAGTGGCAGACACTTATTCAAACGTAAGTCCTTTTAATTCTGTAGTGTTTCTTTCATAAGCATTGCTGTGAAGAATGTGCTGTAGATTATTAGTTGTTTAGACAATTTTTCCAGAATGATATATTTGCAAGTATGGCAGATATGATATGTTTTTTTGTGTGCATTATCCATTATGCTGTACTTTATACATCAACATATCCATAAGGAGTTTGTGGATAATGTGGGAGTCAGTTTATTAGGCAAAAGGTCATGATAATATTCCAAAGTGACTTAAAGTGCTTTGTCACAATATTTAACATGTACAATTAAAATGGTACACATAGAGAACCAATAGTAGATGTTATTCTAATTCATTGTTACCATGTTTCACTGATTCTAAAATGTTTATTTCCTCCCCACATTTTAACATTTTGGAAGTTAGGATGCCTCTAATAATCAATGTTATGGTATAATTGGCAAAAAAACTTTTCTTTAAAATAGTACATATATTCATGGTAAGTCTTACAACTGATGGGGTCTTAGATTTGATGAAATATAATTATTTACATTTGCCAACACCCAAAATATGTATGTGTACTGTATTTCCAAAAGGCTTCATAAACCCTATTTGAATGATCAGATTATTAATTTGTGTTTTTAATGGTTTAGACGTGTTAGATAAATGCTTATACTCAAAAAACTGCCTTTGCAACTTTATTTTTACTTACTCTGCATTATAACTGTTTGGATGTTTTTAGAATATCTATTAATATGCCAGCAAAGTACAGGTATATTAGGTTATTGTATATTTTGAGGAATTGCGTATTGTATGCATTTTGTGATAATGTATAATGGTTCCAAAGGAACCATCAGATTTTTTAAGTCATTAACTCACTCCTTTCTCTTAAATATATATTGAGATAAATCACTAACTATGATTTCAAGATTTCTTTTGGTAATTAATACTAAAAGCAGGCAGTCTACTAGTAATTATTATAAAATTGTAGCTTAACATTTTACTAACAAAAATAAGATGAACATGCCTACTTCTTTTGAGTTTTGTTCTTACTCGATCTATGTCAGTGAGAGTCTGCTGAACTTTATGAATGATGGAAAATTTGTTACAATTTAGAACATATGTGTCTTTGATTTTCACATGTTGTTCTAACTGATGTCAAAGGAGTTTTTGCGTTCACAGCCTGAAGGTAGTCCATGGCATTTAATATTCAGGTACACTGGAAGTTCAGACTTAGGTTGAGCAAAATGATGAATTGTGCTTTTTGACATGGTTTGCCTTTTGAAAACAGTTATGATGATGTTGCGTAATATTAGCTCTTATAGAGTTTCTTACATATTTTTAAATTATCCAAACCACAGAAAACACGTTGTTTTCATGTATTAGTGTTTAGGTTAAGTAGTGTGTGATTATATAAGAATTCATTTACATTAAGAAAATTAGAAATTTTAAAATATTCAAGAATAAAGTCAATACTGTACTGAAAAATTTTAATTTACAATGCTTCTCTTTTTTTTTTTTGCAGAAGTATAATAAGGACATGAATTAAGTTTACCTTATAAAATCTAAAGCTAAAACTGTTTGAGAAAAATCAACATTTTAAATCATGCTAAGTCTCTTTCTATTTTTACTCATCCTCTTGCAGAGCATTGACAAAAATATGAAATTGATTTGGTTGAAGGGTGTTAAAGAGCCGACAGCCAAATGTCACAAACAATGAATGGCTGCTGTGTTGAAAAAATCAATAGGGAGGTTAAGCTGGTCTTGTGAAAGACTTGGCAGACTGCTCTGTTCCAGGAAGATATCTGTCTTCTGGTCTTGGTTGCATGATCAAAAGGAAAACTTGATAGGTTTAATGAAGGGAGATACTGTAAAACTGACAACAGAAATATAGACACTGTGGTAACTGTAGTGCACATCAGTGAGTGGTGCTATTAGATACATTTTTCAGCCTGAAAAAAATATTTATAGGAAGAGATGTCAAAAATATTAGCATTCTTTTACTTTTCCATTGATTCCTCTATCACCTAATAAATTTGCCTGAAGTAAACAAAGGTTTGCATTTGGCTAAGTGTATAATAAGATGTTAAATGTTTAAGACAGAATAATTGCTGTGTTAATTAGTAAACTAATTTTCCAAATCTGTTTATTATAGCATTAAAATCTGAATCAAAATAGCATCTTTGTCATTCTCAGAATATATTTCCAAGGTATTATGAAAGATCAAGAGCCTAGATAAAAAAGACAGCCATTGACTTGTCAATGAAAATAGGAAGTCGTTATTGAAAACCAAGATGGGATTTATGATTCATTAGTCCACCCCACAGGTGATTAGAAGATATTTTATAGAAGCATTCTCCTTTTCACTTGTATTGATAAACAGTATGTTGGCCTAAAAAAATATTTCACTGTGGTTTGACCAGAGATATATATTATGAAGTCTGACATTTTAACACATTTCAAATAGGATTAAGGTCATTTATAGATTATGTTTTTTGCAGTTAACTGTTCATTGTTTATCAGCTTTATACCAAGTAATCTTTGTGTTAGCATTATTTTTTCATCTGAATTTCTTGAGAACTCCTATTATATTCTAAAATCAATTATTTCCTGAGTGCTCATTGTGTATAAGTAATTATGCTAGGTACCAATATTCTTAATTAAGGACATTTGTTTTTAAGTTTAGTGACTTCAAAAAAAATATTTTAATAGGCAGCTCCATTTTATTTTATTAGCCTTTATTAGATGTGGCGGTTTCTTTGTGTAAATCTGTGAGTGGATTTAAGAACAAGGAATCATTAGTTTAAAATTCCCAAATGTGATAATTCAGTTTAGAGAAGATGATAACCTACAAAACAAATAAATAAAAAGAGAAGAAAAAAGGGGAAGATGTCGGGCAGATTTTCTGCAAGTGGACGCTGTAATAAAAATGCCCCCTACTTTGTCGGGATGGTATTTGGAGGGCTGCTGCCATATGTTACTTTCCTTTTTAGCTGGGATTATGCCATCATTATTGCTGATAAAAGCTGTTTACTGCCTTGGCAAAGGAATGATGCTTGGAGCAGTTATGGAAACCGCCATTCAGTTTACAAAAAAGTTCATTTAGTGCCAGATGCTAGAATCCTAGGTCTTTGTTATCTTTTGCCATTATTAGATCCATCCATTGTGTGTTTTTTTCCCCCTTTTATAATAGAATGTTGTTTCTTACTACCTGTTTTAATTCAAGCTGTTGAAGTGAGAGGTTTTCTAGATTATTACATTCCCCATGTTATAAGTGATCAGTGCTAAAGATGGGCAATTTGGCTTTCAGAATCATTGACTATATTTGGAATAAGCACTGCAGTGTGCAATGAGATTCCAGTTTCTACACATCAAGGAGAGGTTGGTTCAGTCTTTGAATAAACTGTTGGCTAATGTGCAGTCTCTGGGAGCATTGAAGGTGGGGTGTTGTTTTGGGTCAATTTATCACATTGTTTTTATACTGTTATGAAACATGTTAGAATTGAAAGTGAAACAAAATTCAGTTTTTTCCCCAGGAAATATTACAGTCATAGTTCTTATAACTTTTTATGAGAATATTCCATTTCCAGTTATTCCTCTGAAACTTTCCTCTGCTTCTAAACACAATATTTGATAGTGATTGCATGATTGGATTACACTGCCTTGAGAATTTGTAAATGCTAATAACAAACTTTTGTTGTTGATAATTAGCATATTTTGCAATACCTCGTAGGCCTTTAGTATATACTTACTACTCAGTATAAGGCAAGGAGATTGTTTGATTTTTAATGTTTTTTTTTAATCTACATTTTATTAAGATACACATATCTTTCAGAGTCTAAGTATATTCTCCTTTTTCTCAATTTGTAGTACTGTCGAGTCAGTGTGTGTATGGCATGTGACTTATTGGCCCACGTAGAGGTCACACCCTTGACTTTGGTCTTGTTGGTATTGTGCTTCACCATCTTTTTCCACACCTCAGAATATAAATTATGCTCCTGACTTGAATTTAGAACTTATGTAAGTGCAAAATTTAACTTTTGTAAATAATATTGACAAATTAGGGTCTTACTGGCTTGTCTCAGTATATAAATATATAGACCATAGTTCTAAACATAGTTTCTTTAAGTATATTTTTACTCTCATGTTTTCTTTTTTGTTAGAACTATCACCAAGATGAAAAGGTCCAAAATAGTGTAAAAATCACATTTTTGGTACAGTCATTTTACACGAATAAGGTCAGCCATCTGCTAGAAAACTACACTTATTTAGAATACACTGAAAGTACTCAGCACTGAATGCCACAAAGAAGCCCTGAAAATGCAAACTTTCTGTGTGGCTTTGGATGGGAAAAGAAAGGAAAAATCATCTTCAAATGTATCCAAGAATAAAGTTTAATAAAAAATTTCAGTGTCATATTGAAGTTGAAAATTTATAATCACCTGGGTAAAAAGTATCCCCATTAAAAGTTGAGATCATTTGCCCCAACTGGGTGGTTCAGTTGGTTGGAGCATCGTCCCATACACCAAAATAGTTGTGGATTTGATGTCAGGTCAGGGCATATACACTAGGTTGTGGGTTTGATCCCTGGTCTTGGAGCATACAGGAGGCAACCGATCAATGTTTCTCTCTTTCTCCCTTCCTCTCTTTAAAATCATACATATCCTCAGGTGAGGATTAAAATATAAAAGTTGAGATCATACGAGTTTATGTGCACCTTTTTTTGAAATAATTTTTATGGTTATGAATGAATGCTTATTACTGGTCAACCTCTTAAATTACCTATAAATTATCACAATTAAAAAAATGAGTATTAAAAAATACACCCAAATGAAAGTTTTTAGTCATTTTATAGAGTTGATACCTTACTGCTTAGTATTAATAAAATGGACATTAATGTGAAAACTGTGCCTTTATTTAAACAAGAATATTAATAGATTCTTACATTATAACATTACATATTAACATGAAAAGACCCTGTAAAAAAGTTGGTCCTTGGTAAATAGTAGAGATTTTTATTATCAGTGAGCTAGATTGTATCAAATATGGGTTGACCAAGTCAAATTAAGTCAGTTTAATTTTATCTTTCTGGTTTACCTGCATGGAGGTCTCTAGAAATGAATTCCATCTTTTATTGGTTAAATAACTGAAACCTATTCTCTATTATTTGTAAGATTAAGAAAAATTTGAGATGTCATCAGTAAAACTCTACAACAAAACCAGGCAGAATGGGAATCAGAACTTTAGCTGAGAATCAGTTTACGGAGGCTCAACTTTAATACACTGACTTCATGTTGAGCCTGTGATATTTTTATTAACACATTTTGGCAGACTAAGGTTTTCAGTTTCTTTCTGCTAATAACTTAAACTTCTATAAATCTAATAACTTATATTTACAAAATTTATAAAACACTTCATAGAAACTAATTCAACTATTATAAATGTATTATGAAGGCTTCCTATTAGTATATGCTTTGCCAGTGTTATTCTAATTGAATTTTATTTACTTTTATTTTCAAGGTAAAGATTTTTTCCCTTTAAAAAAAATTTCTTCAAATGATAATTATCCTTTTTTTTTTTTTTTTTAAATATATTTTATTGATTTTTTACAGAGAGGAAGGGAGAGAGATAGAGAGCTAGAAACATCGATGAGAGAGAAACATCGACCAGCCGCCTCCTGCACATCCCCCACTGGGGATGTGCCCGCAACCCAGGTACATGCCCTTGACCGGAATCGAACCCGGGACCCCTCAGTCCGCAGGCCGACGCTCTATCCACTGAGCCAAACCGGTTTCGGCAGATAATTATCCTTTCATCATTGTAGATATCATCTTGATAGTCTATCAAAACTATGCTTTTACTAGAGCACAATGTTACTTTGGATTAACTGTGTGTGTGTTTTGTTTGTTTTTTGTTTTTGCTTTTATTGTAATTATGTGGGGAGAATGTGACTTTTTCCCTGTTTAGATAGATGCATCTAGAACCAAATGAGGGCAGTAAAGTCTAATAGAAAGCTTTACAAATGAAAGTTTTGTTTCTGTTTCTGCAATACCTTGTTCCCCCTTCATGTATCCTGGGAAATCATACTGATCAATAGTTCCCATTTCAGTACAACTGCAGCAAGCATTACAACTGTATAAAATTTACAACATTGTCTGCTGTAAATTTTAATTGGAAAAACCTTATAGCTTTGCTCTCTATCTTTGGAGGTTTAAATCTATATGATTTTTTTTAAATAAAAAAATTTACAACATAATATCATGTCATACAATTTTTATAGACATGTAATATTAAATAGGACAAAAACCATAGCCTTATTGGAAAAAATAACTATAAAAATATATTTTAACACTTAGTGCATTCAACATTTTTTCTTTAGAAACAATGGACTTGGTAAAGTAATTTAATGAATGTTGTAAATAATTATGAACAATATCAGGCAGGGGATATTAACAAATAAATATATTAGTAAAAGATATAGTCTGTGGTTTCTGTGGCTCCCCTGTGGGGCCTCTGTCTGAATCAATGTGAAATACTCTGTATAGAGCGAGTGTTCTGAACTAGAAGAGTATGAGAAAAATGTTGCTTCCTGCACAGCTTTATTTCTCTCACACAGGTCAGGCTTAGAATGCTGTGTGATTCAGTTATTGACTCTAATCTGGGCATAAACACAAGTCCTCAAGCACCAGCCCAATTAATAATTTGCATAATTAACATGCATATTAAATAGGGACTGGCCTTGCATCTGTATTTGCAGTGATGGGGTAATGAGGGCTAACGGAGCGGCGCCTCGGGCCTGTGTTAGCAGACGCATGGCAGTAGTAATTTTTGCTTGGATTGACAACTGCTAGACAAGCAGTCCCAGCATAAAGCTAAACCCCGTTTGGCAGTATTAATCGTTGACAAACTGCTCTTAAAGCTGTAACATTGTTTCTGTCAGTTGTTTGGTTTGATGTCACTGTTAGACATAATAAATCAATAGTGTCAGAATTTGGTAATGTTTATAGCTAGCAAGGTTTATTATTTCATATGACTGTCATGTACAAGTAGTGGCTATCACGGCTGCCTCTAAATTATCAAAGACAGACTATTGCTTAGAATATACTTCTGTAATTCTTGTTTCAACTAATTCTTTGCCATCTGGAAATGCTTTTGGTTGGTATGCCTGCCCAATTTCAGTGTAATACTCATTCCTTCATGCAGAATGTTCCATGATTTTTAAAAGTATACAATTTAATTTTTTGAAAGTTGATTATAGTTTTAAATTAGGAAGATATACTTAGCCTCCTCAGCTTTACCTTTGTTTTCAAAACTTGATGATATTACGCATGTGTGACAGTGCAAGGGTACTGAGATTCCTCAGAGTAGGATTTTAATTTCAGAGGATTTTAGGTATATGTAGGAAGGAAATAATACTATAAGCAATTGTTATTTATAAAGAAAGTTCTTCAGAGATACCTTTTCATTAGGTAAAATTCCTTCTCTCCTTATTCTTCTCCTCTAATCATTTATCCAAAAGTTTTAACATATTATACTTTCTCACACACATTATTAAATATTTTAAGATATTTTTCTTCATTCAGATTTCAAATATGTTTCTTTAAAAATTATCTAAACAAGTGATATTATCTTTATTGTCATTCCATTTAAAGCAGTCCTTTTTATAGCACTGTTGGTGGAACAGAATTTTATATGTGAAAATATTAGCTATATGTAAACATGTTTACTGTGTAGCTATAACATGTTTATGATAAACTATAGTAAAATAAAGACTATTTTTAGTGACTTAGAATGAATTTCTGTATCTCTCTGCATAGCACTTTGATGTTGCCACTAAAAATGTATGTAAATACTTTATGAGCTAATTAAGGAGTTTTATGACCTGCCAAAATCTTTTTTTTTTAAGCAAACTAATAGACAGTTCTTAGTTATTAGCATAAGAGGTATATTAGTTCAAAAAAGGTGGAGTCATTTGCAGTGGGCCTGATTTAGTTTGGCATAGAAACATTCCCACTTAAAAGGAAATTTAGAGTTGATGGCCAAATAAACATTAAGTTATGAGCATTATAAGAGCATTTTAGTAAGCATTTGATAAAAAGCATGGTTTACCCATTGTATTTCTCATTTATTCATGGTATCTTTAAAGCTACAATTTCAAACCTTACTTCCCATCCATTATATGCTTATGTATGTGCATATCATATACATATATTAGCATTGTGCTACAAGGAAACTATATCTGAACAGCAACTAGGGTGTGTGTTTTTTTGGATAACATGAGTTTTTAAAAAAACACTACATTGAAATGAATAGAGTTATTCATTGGACAAAGCTGTTATTTTTAGAAAGTCAATGAATATTCCACTTTAGGGAACCCTACTTTTGAAAGACTTTGGCCACTCTTTTAAATATCTTTAATGGTGGCAAATAGAAAATGAATAGCTAGAGATGATAGTGAATCAAATGAGGTGTGTGACCACTTCTTCTGCCCATTGAGAAGTGTAAGGCTTGTACATATTTACAGTCAGAGGTCAAGTAGCCCATGGAGGGTGATGGAGACTATTAGAGAGAGAGAAATGATAGTTGGGGGTAGGCCAAGGTTTTGGAGGTGGTAAGATAGGATGTATTTTTATCTTTTAGGTCTCAGCTTAAATGTCACCTCTTTGGAGGGTTTTCTTAACCACTCTTGCTAGATTTTTCCCTGTTGTTCTAGGACTCCTTCCTTCATAGGACTTATCACAATTTGTAAAAAAAAAATTTTTTTTTTACTCTATGGCCCATGAAGGTAGAGACCATATCTGTTTGTTTTGCAATGATATTCTTCAGAGGGAAGGTAATGAAGTACATGTCTATTGGAAGACATCAGACGGGATTGGGAATTTGAGGAAGAGACGTTTGTCTTTAATATGACCTTTGTGCTTATGTTTGGTACTTTACATACTCATATCTCCTTAGAATAATCTTATCAGGTAGTTATTAATACTTCCATATTGTAGGTGAGAAAACGGAAGCTCAGAGAAGTGAAGTGACCTGCCAGAGATCACATAACTAGTAATGGCTAAGCTGAGATTTTTATCATATTTTTATAATTTTGAAGCTCACAGGATATACCACATTACCCAAGCTCTATGGAATGTGTTGTGATTGTGTACTCAGTTACAATTATATGATATGCATTTATAGCAAAACCAATCTTCAAATTTCTGCTGTTTTCTCTAGCAATGTTCCCTCTTACAAGCGTAGGGACAATGAAAATGTGTGTTATATCAGCTTGGTGATTAACTTGGTGAGCCCTTCTTTACTAGGGTTGGCCTATTGCTGCTCTTGTGTTAGAATGGTACTAGCTATGTACCATCCTTGGGGGAATTGAAAAGATAAATCCCGTAGATAATTTTCTGTGGGCTTCTCTTGTGGAACCCCAGCTGAGAAAGACTAAGTTAGGTTGTAAGACAACAAAGGTTTATTTCTTTTTCTTTTCTTTTTTTAAATATACTTTATTGATTTTTTACAGAGAGGAAGGGAGAAGGATAGAGAGTTAGAAACATTG